GAAGAAATAGTCACATATAAGAAGTATATCTTGTAGGTGGGGGTTCTTACAGCGGTAGCTTCATTTTGCAGCTAAATAACTTCTTTAAGTTTTTTGGGGTTCCAGTGAACCTTCTCTGTCTCTTACATGTTGCAACTGACTGTTGGACAACAGATAAGGATTTTAAGTAGCTGAGTGATGGTGTGGTCTATCTGGCCTGAGAAATGGCTTCAGAGATTTTCTTCTAGTTATGATAAACATAGTTGTCACTAGTGATTTAAAAAGCATAGCACAGGAAAATGAAAATGAGTAGGAGGCGTTCATTAACTTTATATTGGAGAGTTTCTTTTCCCCTTCAGAAAAAAGCATCTGCTGTGCACTTTCCCTGTGATTAGTTTTTCATTAAGATCAAAATTGATTCTGTTAGATTATTTTCTGTGCCAGATATGCAGTAATGAAATAGTTCAGAAGTGTAACACAAGATAATAAGCCATATGAAATGCTCTTCATTTTTTATTCCATCTGCTGCTATTATGTGGTAGAAGTCTTGTAGCATGTTTTTAAAATGTAATTTTTTCAATTCTCTTATTAATGTGGTTTGGGAAGTACTGGATCAGGTATTAAAATGTCGTGCCTGTTAAAGTGCTCTAGGGAGCTTTGTGGTGGGCCCCAAAAAGTTATTAGGATAATTGAAAAGCAAAATTTGCCATATAATCCTGATGCTCTTCAAAGAGAAACTAGTAGCAACTAGAGATATATATATATGTATTTTTTTTCTCCTGTCTCTTTGTTTTCATTAATGAGAGAAGTCTTAAGCACTGAAAGACTCTGGATCCAGACACACAAACTGTGTTTAAGAGTGTTTGTAATCTTCAAATAAATACTAGCTCAATGAAATGAAAACTGAATAATGCTGAGAAGAGGGCACTTTTGGTTCCGAACTAGGCATTTGCTTACCTCTTGACTGTATGGAAGGGAAAAATCTGCTGCTTGGATAAAGTAGTCTTTGGCAGGATTCGGGCAGGTGGAGCTTATTCCCATGACTACAGAAGAAGTAATGTCTTCTAAGTTCTATGGTGCTTTCTGGATTCTCTCCTATTTTCAATGAAATTTCTAGATTTCATGCTTTTTGTGTTGCGAGGAGATGTTTCAGAATGCAGCTGGCTCTCTTTCCCCCTGAGCCTGCAGTCAAGGCAGACTGAAGCAATATGCTCTAAGAAGAAGTGTGAATTTTCTCATATGTTTCAGTGAGCGTTAATGGGAAGACTAATGAGGACAACTTGAAGCCAAAATTGCTGTGTTTCACTTTGAGACAAATTATCACAGACATCCATCAGCTGTAGTTGGATGTATGTGGCATTCCAAGTTTAAATCTGCGTGAAGGGTTTAGAATCGGAAGTAAGGAAAAGAAGTTTAAATCTAACTTGGGGCTTAAATTTACAGTAGAACAAGGAAAAATAAAAATCTACCACATACGAATAACTTCGTACTCTAATAAACACGTGAAGGAGATCATGTACTTCTAGTTATTATTGGTTTTAGTTCTAGTTTTGAGACTGCATGTCAGTGACATTAAATCAGTATTTCAGACTGAAAATGCTGTATTAAATACTAGTATATTTTTTTTTAGTGTGAAACTGTATTTAACTTTTACAGATACATGCATACAGATAGGGCTTCTTCCTCACCTTTCTCTTGCGGATGTGACATTTCTACTCATAGAAATCTGCATAACCTAAAACATAGGTCCCCATAGTCAGTTCTTTTTGAATCCTAATGTACTCTTACTGTCTTTGGACACAAAAAACCCTGTGGCTGCTTCCTTCACAGGACTGACTTTGTGCTGTGTCAGATTCAGCTTCTGGGTAAGGTACAGTACAAAAGTTAGTTTGCTTCAGTGCTACAAAGGCAGCGGCCTCTGGCTGAGGAGTGCCCGTACAAGAAGAGGTGCGTTTCTTTCTACTGTGCTTTTTCCTCCCTACTCTCCCTGAGAGAGTAGGAGGAGAGCAGGAGTCTCTCCCTGCTCTTCTGTTGCGTTGCGTGCTCCCAGAAAGCAGGACTAACCCTGTGCTTTCCATCTCATAATATATATGTTTAAGACTCCAGCTCCATCATGTCATATACCTCTTTCACCTTCTTGTCCTCAGCCAGAGGTGACAGACTACCTCTATTTCTGTTGCAGAGCAGGGCTGGAAGCTGGCAGCCTCTGCTACACAGAGTAGCAAGACGTACCTGACTTGTCGTGCCTATCTATGCAAGCGTCTACTGTGCTGTGAGAGAAGACAGGAAGGGAAAGCTGAGAGAAGCCGATACTGCACCTGGCGCAGGCAGATTGGTTACATGTGGTGGGCGTATCACAATTTTGGGAACTTGTAGTGTTGTGTATTGCTGTCTCCACTGCTGCAATAGCTGTGGGCACAAATGTGTTTTGTCAGAAGATGGTGATTCCTTCCACCTGAAATGCGTTGTGTGGCCTTCTGTCTTCCTTTTTAACATGTCCCACCTCTTGCGTAGTATCAAGACAGAGAAAACAGCCAAGGAAAATGTTTCTCTCTCCAGTATAGAATTTTCAAGGAAGAAGTGGGGGGGAGGAGGGAAGGTCTTTCCTCTTGTGTGTGAAAAATGGTACCTCACATTTATTAGCAACATGATCCATCTGGTAACAAGCTGGTAGTATTGTACCTTCCATTGTATTTTATGGCCAGCATCAGCACCCTATGAGCAACAATTAAACTGCTGGCTGGTCCATCTCAACCAGCTCTGACAATTTTGTCAAGTCTCAAAGATAGCTATGTTCTGTAACTACTGTGAGAGTAGGTGGCTGGGTAGAGGCAAGAGACAATGTTCTGTGAGCATGTGCTGTGTGCTGTGCTTTGAAATGGGGGGTACACGGTGGGGCAGTGACTCACTAGGAAGCAGGAAGGCTTCAGCAAGAATTTCCACCTTATGAGCTTGAAGACAAGTATGTAATAAACAGGTATCAATCAAAGAACTGTTTCTTTGTGGGCTAAAATGCGTTTTTCTTGTGAGGAGTGTGGCTGTAGGGCTATATTCTTTTGTGTTGTGCTGCAGGTACAAGGAGTGAGGAAGTCTGATCTCAAATAGGGAGTATTCAAGTTGGGGGTAAGGATATCTTTATTTGGGTATGTAGAAAAAGAAGGGCTGCCATTTTTAAAAGTTGCTGCACCACTGTAAGCTCTCTTCTTTTTCCTGTCTGTGGTATGGTGTATTGAGTCAAATACGTACTTTGAAAGTGTGCCAAATTAATAATGTGTTCTGGCTTTCACCAAATCATGTTAATGTAGTGTAGCCATCTAATTGGGTATGCCAGTTGTACTTGTAGAGCAATTTTTTTTTTCTTTTTAAATGTCCCACTGTGAACTCTTGTACCAGCTGACAAATCCCAAACACATAAGTTCTCTCTAGGTTAGGATGAGAGAAATAAAAAGCGTGTATCTTGGCAAAGCAAAAAATCTTGCTCTTGGCAAAAAGGGCCCCAAAAGAATCTTTTAATTAGAGCAATTTCATTCTGTCTATCTGCCACAGATCTAACAAGCAATATGAGCTTGTTAAGATGCAGCCATGTGACTTGGTGGGAGCTGATCCTCTAATGAGAGGATTAGGTGTTTATTTCTGGTTGTCCACAGCCTGTGATGCTAAGCACATGTCACTGGGCGTGTGAGGGCTCTCAGCCAGTCCCCAATAACCTCTCCTTTACCTCTCTCATCTTTTCTCTTCTGTCCCTTCCTCAATATCACTTCACTGATTTCTCTGTTCTTGATATTTCAGCTGGGGATAGATTTCATAAATTATGCTCCACACAGTTTCTGTGTGGTATTGTGTTTGTGTCTGTAAGTAACACAAAACCTAAATGGAACATAAAATTTTTAGAATCTTGGTTTTTAGCAAATCACCTGGGGAAGTGTTGTGGTTTAACCCGAGCTGGCAGCTAAGCACCACACAGCCGCTTGCTCGCAGCCCCACTGCCCTCCCTGGTGGGATGGGAGAGAGAAGTGTGAAAGTGAGAAAACTCGTGGGTTGAGATAAAAACAGGTTAATAATTGGGAAAAAGAAATTGTAAGGAAGAGAAAAGTAACAAAAAGAAATATAACCCAAGAGAGACAAGTGATGCAAATGAAAACAGTTGCTCACCACCAACCAACTGATGCTCAGCCAGTCCCTGAGCAGCAGCTACTCCCTGGCCAACCTTCCACCTGATTTTACTGCAGAACACCACGTCATACGGTATGGAACATCCCTTTGGTCAGTTTGGGTCAGCTGTCCCAGCTGTGTCTCTTCCCAAACTCTGGTGCACCCCCGGCCTCCTTGCTGGAGGGGCACTACTCAGCAGTAACTAAAATATCCTTGGATTATCAACACTGTTCCCAGCGCAAACCCAAAGCATAGCCCCACACTTGCTATTATGAAGGAAATTAACTCTTATCACAGCCAAAAACAGCACAGGAGGTGTAGTTTGAAATCGGTGAGATCCAAAAGGGATGAATAGTTGTGTCCAAGAGGCCATCGTTAAACCTCATCTCCAGCACTGTCATTTTACAAAGTGCATTTAGTGAATTGTTATGCTTTTAAAAAATGAGAAGAGGGGTGATGGAAGAGGAACCAGTCCTGGGGCTCCTGAATTGTGATACCTCTACCATTTGTGATACAGAAGCTACTTAATATTATGTGGGGTGCGGAGAAGTCCAGTCTGCCACCTTAAAGCTGGGGAATGAACTCTGCCTTCTGCTCACAGACTGAGAATTCTATCTGGAGCTGCTGCTGCCGCTGCTTAATACGGTTTTCTTTTTGTTACGATGGCAGCTGAGCAAAATAATTTGAAAATCTCTCACTTTAATAAGTTTCTCATAATCTTGAATGGTGTAGAAGACCGTATTTTGTAAAGAAATCTGTTTCCTTCTATTTTTGCATTTTACCTTGAATTTGATGTTTTGTCCTCTGGGCACTGATATTAATATGAGTTCCGTATTGTACTTATTTACATGATAAATCTCTTTTCCCAGATCATTCGACTTCAAGTGGTACCTCCTCGTTTAAGCCCAGCCGATCACTGGTTTCTATTCCCACTGCCCATGTGATGCCGTCTAATGCCAGCTCTTCACTTTCCAAACACCGGGAAGCTTTCAAGTCTGATGGCTCAAAATGGAGTACAAGCTTTGTACGGTCAGGAGGAGGCAGAAATCAGGGCGCCCTGGACAATTCTCTTGACATGAAAGATGCAAGACCTGTAAGAAAATGGTCCTCCTTGTCTAAACTCAGCTCACCAAATACCTGCAGCCAAGATGGCAGTAGTCATTCAGTGGATTCCAGGGCTAGTACAGACAAAGCTGTGTCACCACAATTAAGGACAAATGGGCCAAGTTGTTTGCATGATAGCATGGAGTTGCTAAAAATTGAGGACAAAGAAATGGGGAAAAAACGATCTTCTCTACTTGACTGCAAATACAAATTTGAAACATGCAGCAAAGACGATTTTGTCTCAGATTCCTCGAGTAGGAGACATGCCTTAGACTTGACCTACAGTGCCTTACCTGAAAGCAAACCTACGGCAGCCAGTTGTGAAGCTTTCGGACAGAGATACGCGACTCTGGGACAACAGGCTGTGAGTGGAGCTCCCATACAGCCAGCCGTGAGGACTCAGATGTGGCTTAAAGAACAGTTACGTGCAAATCCCCTGGACTGCAGGACTGCTGAGGAGCCCTACGGCGTAGCTGCGTGGCATGTGCAGCCGCTTGAAGATTTTCGAACAGGAGGTGAACAGCCTGTGCAGGTAAGGCCTAAAGCTTAGTGTTTGCTGCCATCATGTGTTATACTTGAGGAATAACATCAGGCAGTTTTTAATAAAATAGGAAAGGGAACAGGTCCACTTAACCAGGGGATGACGTTCTTAAACTTTGATGGGAGATGTTGCTGCTTGTTTCTCAGTATTACCTGGGTGCCACCAGGGTCTTTTTTTCCGGCATCTGCTTACAGTTTACTCTGATTCATTGAGCTTATCTGCATGAGACACAAGCGTCTCTTTTTCTGAAGCTGGACACAGTAAGAGGTTCATCAAATAACATTTTCAGTAGTTCTTCAGAGAGTCTTTGGTCACAGTGTGATGGGGGAGAGGTGGATGAATTTTGATCTGAATGGGTTTACAAAGAGGCTGCATTTATGCATTCAGCAAAATAAGAGTGACTCCTGTAGGATGAATATTCACTATCACTATGCCTAGCACTTAAAAACTGAATTCAGTTTGATATTACTGCTTATTTTTTGACTAATTAGAATGAAATAATAATGGTCAACAAATGTGGTTTATTTAAATAAAATGTGAGTTTTATGTGTCATCTTTGAAGTAGTTTCATATAGAAAACATCGAGCATGTGGTTTTAAGAGACAGATAACCCTTTCTAATATAGCTATTCACAATCTTTGCAGCTCTTCCCCTAACAGGAAAAGATAACTTGTGAAGGAAGTATTTAAAATCTACATGTTCAGGTTTACCTGTGTAGGTAGTCTTTGGTTTGCCAAAAAAAATCCCAAGCAGATTACAATATGTAAATTTTCCTGACAGGCATCTTAAGGTTAGGTTACGATGTTATCTGAGCAGAGATAATCTAGCTGTATGTGCATATACTGGTTTTCTCCAGCCTGAAGTGACTTACAAAGAGTTGTGCTTGAATTTTGTTGTTTCTTCCACTGTATATTGAAAGAAAGTTTATTGAAGGACAGCTTTAGAGGTTCTCAAGATCCAATTTTACTCTTAATGGTGATCTGGATTTTTTTTTTTTTTAATTTAAAAAAATTGAAACCAAACTCATAGTAATCCTTAAGGGTCTATCTAAAAAATGTGACAATGTTCCAGGTAGCAACCTTTTACAGTACCCTTATTACTACAAAACGCCTCATCTTTCTCTAAGCTTTTTGAAGATCTCGATGTCGAGCAATTACCCAGGTAGAGAGCAGAGGCTGATGGGGTCCTCTCAGAGCCAAAGTGACAGAAACTGGCTCACTACTGGGGCTGGGTCGGGGGCACTGCCACCTGGGATCTTGGCACCTGGCAGTTACTGGTGGTGTTGAGGAGCGCGTGAGGGGTTCGGGAAGCGACAGCAGGGCACTGTGGGGGAGCTTAGTCCATCCATTCATTCAAGTCTTCCCAAAAACCTGAGATGTGTAGCTGGCTGCAGCCGTCAGCGGTGCTGTGAGGTTTGCATGCGGATTACTGTGCCTGGTGGTTCTCTTTTTGGATTTAAATATATATTCAGAGTAACCTTTATTTACTACTTTTCATGTGGGTATGCGTCTCAATCTTTTATATATCTTTCACTACGCTTTGTTCAGGATGGGTGTTTTAGAAACTCTTAGGTCAAAACAACGCCCAGCTTTTGTTTTTCATGTCTCACAGATGCTTTCTCACTCTGATTGTGATTAAATACAGTGTCTCCTTTTTGTATGAAGGCAAAGTTTCACGTTAGAAACAGATTAAGCCCTATATGTGTATAAGGCTGTTTAAAAACTTCCATTCATGCCAGCATTGATGCCGAGCTGTGTTTTGAGGACACAGGCAACAGGGGGAGCACAAGCATTATTTATCTTCTTGGCCGAATTCATAACATGGTGCTTGCTGTTCCTTTTCAGGTTTTGAGATTGTAAGATTACAGAATGAAGTTTTGCCTGACACTGTTGTGTGTTTTTATTTGTTTGGTTGTTTTTTTCCTTTCTCCTGTTACTTTTATATCTGTTAGTACTGATGTGTATGTTACAGGATCCATCTGGCCACTGGCTTGGGAAGCAACGATCCTGTCTGACCTATCTAGTCAGCCCTGGAAAACAGGGGAAATTCTTGAAGCTGCGCCTGTTACTCTGCTTACCCTGACTTACTGCGTGATTGCAAGGGGGGGGCAGGGGCACAGGGAGTCTGACAGTAATGAAGGGCACGAGGGGTGTGGAGAGGGTTCCTGGTGGCCTTAGCAAGCACCTTCATTGGTTTGATTTGGAGCTGTATTGATGGGCCTTGAAATGTCGTCATCTGTTACATGTCCTCAAGTGAGAAGATGTCGTTGTGAAATAGGACCCAGAGAAAGTTAAAGCGTGTGCAAGAGCGGTGAGCCTTTGGCCTCCGCTGGCTCTCCCTGCCTGCCCTGCCTTTCTGCCAGAGGTTACAGCTGTAAGGAGGAGGGATGCCTGAAGGCATGAAGAAAGGAGAATGGTTCTTCCATTCTTGGCACCTGTCTTTTAAAGAAACCTCAGCATAATTGTTCTATGTGGTGGTTTTGGGGGTTTTTTAAGATTCCCGTATGTGCACCTGGGAACTGATAATGCTGTTATTTCTGAGAAACCAAAAAAACCACAATCCTAAGTGGAATATATACCTAGGAAAGAGAGAGACAGCAAAGGCATAAGATTTTGCTAGAGGAAGCTGATGGTTTCTAAAAGGGGGAAAAGCCATACGTCTATACAAACTCTTTTATTTTTCTTTTCCTCTTAGTGGGGATTATTTTTGTTATTTTGCTTTTAATAAGTGTGTATGCTGATGGAAATGCATTGGTTTTTACATGACTGGGGAAAAAAATACAGTTCATTATCATTGTACTTCAAAACTACCATTGCCATGAACAGAAAACAAAATGAACTGTGCTTTTAACTGACAATCTACTGCAGCTTTGTGTATCTCTAAGGTAGACTGGTAGAAGGAGAAACTGTAGAGGGCAGCTGTCTCTGATGAAGTAAGAATCTACTGCAACAATTTTCTGAGTTGATTTTGAGAGCTGATGGTTTAGGAACAGCTGTTGGACTTCAGAATACAGTCTACAAATACATTTTTGTGCCCTCACAGACTAGTATAGACAGTTTACCCTGCAAAACTCTGAATTAGAGTTTATTTTTATAAAAACAAAGAAAGTTTGAATTTTAGTTTACTGTAAAAGATAATTATTATAGCACTTAAAAGCTGTTCCAAGGGTAATTACTTTCAAAATTAAGATTCTCTACTTCTGTAATAGTCTGAATTTGACTGAACTCAGCATCTATGTGTTGGTTTTTTGTTATACTTTGCTCACCACATTAAGAAGCTTATAATGTGTCTTTTCCATTCCAATTGTCAACCATGATTTTTAAAATAAAGTATTTACTGTGCATAGTAAGGGAAGCTCAGCAGAGTGTTGGGCAGAAGATGTACAGCTATGTTGAGATTCTCTTTCAGGGCATGGTCAGGTTTGCAACTGCAGAAAAGATCCTGTGGACCAACAAAACGGCCCTTCAGAGAAGGTGCATCGTTCAGCTGTGGGTGTGATGTTTGTGCATTTCAGAAACAAATCTCCAAGGAGGATCTGGTCTATGGTTACTGTGTAACATCATAGAGTTGTATCTGAATGTATATTTTCTCCAGCTACTGTGTACTATTTAATATATGATTTTTGAAGATAAACATTCTCCTATTCATTTCCAAGGAACAGATTTTAACAGTACTTCAATGAACATAATTTCCATGCAGAATTTATATTTCACCATACACTGAATTATTTTCAACGTACAGCTGACCTTTCAGTGGACGTGACCGTTATAATACTTCTTTTTTTTTTTCCTTTTTAATGCCCAGTGTAAGGAAGTGTGTGATTAGGCCTGTGTTAAGGGAAAAAATGCTTATAATATACAACAGCAGTTCCCATTTACTGCACTGGGAGGCCATACAGAGCTGGATAAAAGGGCTCTATGTTTTCATGTAAAGGCATTTCTTAAAGCCTGATGCTGTTATCTGTCCTATTATCTGAATGCATCTAGGTACATACTGCGTGCTAGTCCACGATTTAGGTTTAAAATGAAAGCATGCCTTTAAAATTGTGGGAGATAATACAATAAGAAGGAAAGCTTCGGAAGTTGCGTATCTACTTATTAGCTCTGTACAATGTCGTAGGTATCGCAGGATGAACCTATTTTTTCCACTGTATGGGACATCTGTATGATTTCTTCATGGTGTGCTAGCTTGTGTCAGAATATAGGGGAGTTAATAGATGGAAATTGTTTAAGTGCATCTTTTTCCTCTAATGTATCTGGTTTACTGTTTTTTCTTTAAAGAGAAAAATGCCGCCCTGTTCATACCATGTGTGTAAAAGTTATGGTGAATTAAATTTTAATGTATTGAGAAATTTAGAGATACTACAGCAATCTTCATTCCAAAACAGAGAAGAAAGTAAACTACATGCATACCTAAACATTGGTAAACAAAAGCTGTGAAGTGTGAATTGAAACAAAAAGTTACAACGTTCTTCAAATAATATTGTTGCCACAGAAAACTTTATTCTTAAATGTCAACTCAAAACTGTTTTTTTCTTATGGTCCTGGCAAATCAGAGAACTAAAAATTATTAATATCAATATTTTTCCTATGTCACATTTTGATGAAACCATACTTTTCAGCAAGATAAAACTTCTTAACATGAAGAATTTTCACCCTTAGTTAGCAGAGTGAACTCCTTCACTGTCAGCCACGATTAAGCTTTTATGTTGTGTTCCTTTTGCTGTGAAGGTGGTAGTCCAACAACTGGGATTCTGTTTGTTGTAATGCATGTGTGGGCTCAGTCTGGAGTAAGCGCTAGCAGATGATGGGAAGTCAAAGTTAGACCGTGCTTGATTGCAAAAAGAGTCTTGGCACTGGTTAACTGATAACTTTGCCAGTTTTATGTGTCATCTCAGGAAAATGTGTGTTTTGGTTTCAGCACCATATTTCAACGTTTGTTGAAGATTCTGTAATTTTCATTGCTGGCTGAGAGAATGCTGCCGGGGTTGTTTCTTGTGGTTGTTTTTACATGCCAATGTCAGAGCTTTAGAGACTTCCTTTGTATGTAATTTTGGATCTGGAAATACGTGATTGTTGGTGACAGTAGACTCATCGTTCTCCTTTTATTAAAGAGGAATATTTGATTTTTTTATTTTTTGTCAGGGCTAACTGCTTTATCTAATTTTAGCTATTAAACTGTCCCAGGGGTTTCCCTAAGGTAGGGAGACTTTTGAGTATACAGAAGAGCATAGAGACTATAAGCTTTGTACAGTTGCAAGTAGTGTATCAGGAATAGCCATTTTGTTGGGAGAACCATTTTTATTCTTCTTTAAACCAGAGTGGGCTTTGTATCTCTTTCTGTGGTTTTGGTGTGCTTTGAGCCATATATGTCAAGCATCAGCAGAAATCCTCCTAAATAATACCTAACTACGTAACTGTTACAACATATATCCTTTGTATATAAATTTACAGGGTGGTTTGTTGTTGTTTTTTTTTTTAAAAGCAGGATATTTCAAGATTATCAAAAGTGATGAAGTGCTTACACTTATGTAGCTGTGCACAGTTTTCTGCTTTAAATGCAAACAGACAGGAACTGATACTACTATATCAACATAAAAAAAAGCTACAGATATGTAATTTGCAGAAGCTATTTTGAATGTTTATTGCACATATTTCAGCGCAGATGAGAGAAAATCTTTCATTTTAACTACGTATGCTGCCTTAGCTAACGCTGCCTAAGCTTTGGAGCAGGCAGCATAGAGTGGTCCGTGGATGCCTGTTAACTATAGGACTCTACATAAACTTTGTGTTTTGCCAGGCATACTGCCTTTTCCTGTGAAAAGTCTTTTTGTAGATCCAATTTAGATGGGTCTCTTCCAGATAACTGAACCACCCCGCAGCAGCGGTAGTCATCTGGAAATCCTGATTGTGAACACGAGTAGGTCAGCTCTGTGGTGTACTCAGCACTTGTGAGAAGTGCTGGGACCAACAGTGTACGTGTGGAAGCAGGGATGTGCTGTTGGCGATAGAAAGCTGGAAGCTGGGGCTTCCTTCACGCTGTGAGCAACGTTGGTCTCTCTTGCATGTGTGCAAAAGACTCAGTATGCATATGTATGGCATTACGTTTACTGTACAGTGCATATGTGTTGGTGCAATCTGTTCCCGTGTTGTGCTGGGGAAAGGGAAATGCTAAGAATAAGCTGTTTGGCCCCAATGTAGTGTATGAAATCAACCTCTGGCCACCTTTCCCAGCATATCTCAGGTGTGTAGAGCTACCTTCTGGACAAATAATTGCAGCAGAAGCGAGCTCTTCTGTGTCACTGTCCTTCCCAGGGACCTGTGGGAAGAGTACATCATCCTGTAAAGGGCCATAGGAGAAGGTCCTGTAAGAAGCCTGTGTTGCATGCTTAAAGCAAGGACAAGCTATGGACTGGATGACTGCACTGACAAGTAACAAGTGGTGTGTCAGATACGGCTTGAGGGCTCCTACGCTGTACACTTGACCTGTGCCTAAGTGGTAAATCCAGCTTATGGAGGCTGTAGCACACTTCTTGTGTTTGTGCAGATGCACCTACTGCTCATATATGTGTCGGTGTTAAGGGCTTCCTAGGCAGAGTTACGATAACCCTTGTTAATGGTCCTTCATTTTTCAGTTGTTCTGGCAGCTGCTTCTTTTGATACTGCTGGACAACAGTAACGGCTTCTGGGTTTTAAGGTGGTGCTGTGAACCATAGGTGGCCAAAAAAAGGTGTAATTATGTTTTCATATTTAAACTTATCCCTGTCTCAGCTGCTGAAAGCTGCTTTTCACATCTACAGCATCTGTGCTTTTGCTCTCCACAAGTAATTTGATGCATGCTCCGTTTGGCCTTCCTGCTG